TACCTTAAATGCCCTCTTCTGATAATGAGATTGATGACTAATTCACATGCCATCGTATAGCCTTCATCCAGCAGCTGGGGGAAGTAGAAGCTGACACCCACAGCTAAACCTTGAACTGAACTGAAATCCAGTTGCAGAGAAGGAGGACTTGTGAGCAAAGGGGTCCATACCAGGCTGGTGAAACCCACAGAAACAGCTGACTTGAACAAGGGAAAACTCCTGGTCACCAGACTGATATCTGGGAAACCAGCATAGGACTGACCCAGACCCCCTGATTGTGGGTGTCAGTTAGGAAGCCTAGTTAGTGTACAGGGCATCTGGCAGTGGATCAGTATTTCTCCCTAGTATGTGAATGGACTTCGGGAGCCCATTTCACATGGAGGAATACTTCTCTCAGCCTAGGCCCTGCTCCAAATGATATGACAGACTTTAAAGATCCCCTAGACCCTCTATGTAAGGCTTCAGCCTCCCTGGGGAGCAGAAAGGGTATGGCATGGGTAGGGCATTAGTTGGGGGTGCAGGGAAGGAGAGGAGAGAGAGGGACCTGGGATTGACATGTAAATAATTTTCTTTCTAATAAAAAAAGGAAAAAGAAAGGATGCAATGGATGAGCAGACTACAATACACACCTCCAGAGAAGCTAGGAAAGAAAGATGGTAAGAGTGACACACACTCTCTCCTCAGTGAAGGGGAAAGGGACAAGTGCTCCTGAACAAATTGGGAACATGGTGGGAGGGGAAGGAAGGTAAAAGAAATAGGAGGGGAAAAGAGGAGGGGGGAGGGAGAAGAACTTGTCGGATTAGGAAGATTTAGTCAGGTGATGAAAAGAGGAGAGCAAGAAAAGAGACACATCAATAGAGGAAGCCATTATAGGTTTAAAGAGTAATGGTGCACTAGGGAATTTTACAGAGATCCACAAGGATGACCCCAACTAGGCATCTAAGCAATAGTGCAGAGCCTACCTTAAATGACCTTCTGCTATAATGAGAATGATGACACTTTAAGTGTCATCATAGAGCAGAGGCAGAGATCCACAGCTAAGCACTGAGATGAACACCTGGAATCCAGTTGTAGAGAGGGAAAAGTGACAAACAAAGGGGTCAAGTCCATGCTGGCTAAATCCACAGTAACAGATCACCTGATCAAGCAGGAACTTAACCAGGCCCCCTGAATGTGGGCATCAGCTGTGAGCACTGGGAAGTCTATGGAGCCTCTGGCAATAGAACCAGGATGTATCTGTAGGGTACAGAAAGACTTTGGGAGCCCATTCCTAATGGAGGGATATTATCGCAGCCCAGATACATGGGGGAGGGGGGGCTAGGCCCTGCCCCAAATGACTTGACAGCTTTTGATGATCCCTCATGGAAGGCCTCAGCCTCACTGGGGAGCAGATGGTGGATGGGATGGGGGTAGGTGGGGAACATGTGAGCATGGAAGAAAGAGGGAACTGGTAGTAATGTGTAAAATGAGATTGCTTCAATTTAAATAAAATTTATAAGAAACGAAAGTACTTTTCACATAATCTGGAGACTATGACAAAGTCCCACAACTGGTCAAAATTCAGAGAAAAATTGGCTGAATCATCCCCAATCCTGACTGATATATTGGCTATGAATCCCTTCAACAGAAGGCTTGGGAAAAACAAAGAGGAGCAGACAGAAAGTCCCTGGAGGCACAGGATCCCTGTTAATAGTATAGATATGACAGGGAAATGCACCTAATAACTTGCAATACTGTATTTACACTGCCTAATCAGCAAAATGTCACTTATAGGGCTGGGTAAGTTGTACATAGTCTTACCCCTACATGAAGAAATATATCAAGGCAATGGGGCCCAAAAGACAAAGAGTCATCTACCTTAGGGGGGAAATCACATATTGGTTGTGCAATCACAGTGCTCAGCTAAGAATACATTCAAATGCACACAGATATAAATGGACTCTGTAAGTTATATGTATATATGATCATATTCAGGAAACAACTAAAATTAAAGACGATAACGTAAATATGTGTAAAAGAGAGGAAGACCCTGAAAGGGTAGAGAATGGGTGGGAGGGATACAGTACACCTAAATCCCTATGATCTCAAAAACAAGCACTACTCTTATAAAATAATTGCACATGTTTAAATTTTCACATTATCACTGCTATTTGATGCACATTTCCAACCATTCTGAAGGCTAAGTTGCATTAGAAAACATTTTAAATTATGCCCCATTTCTATGTCCTAGGACTTGTTACTGAGTTTCTAGTGTGAGTTCATAAATTCAGGCTGGCAAATATTGTAGAATGATATGGAATGAGTTCACAGTTGCCTAATGCAGTAACCTTTGACTGGTTGTTTCAAAATCTATTTCTCCCTATCACTTGTTAGTTTTACAACAGAATATGTAGTGTTAATGATTTCTTTTGACTGCTTTACCCCTTAAGATTTGCTATAAGCTGAACAGTTAACTAGAGCTGGAATCCTAACCACATCAAGAAATACCTCTTTGACATGTCAGACTACATTTGGTTTGAGAGAATACCTTTCCCTGCTATAGACTATCAAAAAGAAATAATTGGAGAAATTCGTGACAAGTTTGTGATCAGAGATGAAGACACTATCATACTGACTTACCCCAAATCAGGTAAGGACCATTAATAAAAGTGATCCTACACTGTATGAGGAAGCTTAACACTTAGATCTTCATTGATTTGAGTGATGAATGGAGTGCTTTCTATATCTGATGTTTAAAATGTTTTGTGAGCATGGAGAACTGTGTGAGAGTGCATATCCAATCAAACTAAGATGTCTAGACTGGTCTGTGTTGGTGAATGATAAGTTAAGACAAATTAGCAATGGCAGTGAATCCAAAGGAAACTCTGACATTTTTGTGTCTCTGTGTGGAAGGGAGAGTAGAAGAGAGAGGATGATGAGACTAAACAGAAGAAATAACATCAAGAGAAATAGTTTGGATGAAATAATATGTGGAGGAGAGGACACTGTCAGGTAGAAGAACTACCACCAACCTTGTCCAGGTAGTGGAAAGGATCTTAAAATACAAGGAACCAAAAAGAGGCATCATGGGTGTTTTGTGGAAGAGCTGTTAGATAGATGACAAAAACACTGAATATTAGGTAAGTATTAGGTTGTTGTGTAGCATGAATCCCAGAGACAGATATTAAGGTTCAAGATGAAGATCAGAAAAGCAAAGCATTCAGCCAGTATCTCTTACCTCTACTAAGGCTGAAATGAAGATCCTGTCTTGGACAGGAAACTGAATCTCTCATGAGACCCTTTGCTTTTTCCTTATATAACTCCCTAGTGCTGGTTTTAAAGTTGTGAGATCTGTTACTCTTTTAGACTGTTTCATTCCAGTGTCACACAGGGTGTTCTTGGACTCACAGAGATCCATTTACCTCTGTCTCATGGGTCCTTGAATTAAAGTTGTGTACCTCTGCTTCCTGGCATCTGTGGCTAACTAGTGTGGCATATTTATTTTCTGATTCCCAGTCAAGCTTTATTAAGTTATGAACAATATATTGTCACATTGCTGACATCAAATGTCCAGTAACATGAAAAAGCCAAGGGAATTGAAATGCATGAAAAAGATTCATACATTAAGTGTAAAGAAGAAGCTAGGGAAATATCTTTTGACAAATGAGCATGTAAAGAGATGCTCATTTATCACAAACAGTGTGTGTGGTAACCAGACTCAACAGGATTTATTGACCTTAAAGAGAAGCAATACTCATGCATTCAGGGCCTCACAGAAGTGTTTCCACAGCATTTTATTTAATAAAATGAGCCAGTCTGAAGGGCAGAAGCCATGACTGCCATGCTTGCAAATATATGAGATAGTCAAATTCCCTACACGAGAATGTAGAAAGATGGTGGCCTAGGATGGCAGGATGTTCAATAGGCAGGTGAAGTTTATTGAGTATAGACTCTCAGATTTCCAGTTTAAGCATTGGGAATTTACTGGATGAATATGTTCTGTACTTACAGTATGTGAACATTGTGGACACCACATGTTTGTATGCTTGAAAGAAGCTGCACCAGAAATTGTATGGGTATCTATTCCACTTGGGGCTTCTTCACAAGTACTGTTGACGTGAGTTACCATATATTTTCCTTCTTGTTTAGGAACTAACTGGCTGATTGAGACTGTCTGCTTGATTCAGAACAAGGGGAATCCAGAGTGGGTGCAATCTGTGCCAATCTGGGATCGCTCACCCTGGATAGAAACCAAATCAGGGTATCAAAACCTAACCAATAAGGAAGGACCACATCTGATGAGCTCACACCTCCCCTTCCATCTTTTCCCCAGGTCTTTCTTCCGTTCCAAGGCCAAGGTCAGTGTCCAGTGGTTGAGAAATCATTGAACTTATTCTACTAGGATGGGTCCTAGAGTTCTGCCCGAAGTTCACTCTGATTATGTAGGTTGTGGGAGGGAATCTGGGATTTTCATGACTAGATAATTCTGGTGTGTCAACTACCACAAGGTGATCCTGGCCTGATATATGAGATGAATTTAAATAACTAGAGCATTCAAGAAACTATATATACAATTCAAGGAGAGTTAAAAACTTCATGAACAGTGAATACTACTCTTTTAATGTCATCAAAGACAACTAGATAATATTGGTTTTACATAAACAGCATGCCTATTGGTTGAATCACCCAAGGCAGACTTGCTCATAGGGGAACCATCCAGAGCAGGCACCAATGGTTTAGACATGGACATTGCTCAAAGGACACGGCTCATCTGTACCCACTCTGACTTGCAGTGTCTGGCTGTCTATTGAGAACATTTGCCACAAGAGTCACTCATGTCACTGAAAGAAGATACACAGAGGGGATCAGAGGCATCCAGTTTTTGATCTATTATAGCATATTGTTATTAAGAAAGTTCTCTGGAAATTACTCCACCACAGAACCTAAAATTATTTTATGCTTAAACTACAAAGGTAAACTTAGAGAAATTATCTCTCTTGAAAATATCACAATCAAGTGGTGTCCTATATTTCTATCTTATCTGGATTTGGCAAACTCTTGTCTCTAGAAATTGAGGCCTAAGAACATGAATTCTAGAATAATGTCACAAAGAGCATTGGTACAAAATGTAGATCTTATTTCATTAAAATTATTATTTATATTCAATTTATTTATTTAATTTTTTTGAGATTATAATTACAAACATCATTTACCCTTTCTCTTCCTCCCTCCTAGGCTACCCATATCCCCCTCCTTTGTCTCTTTCAAATTTATGGTCTCTTCTTTCATTAAATGCTGTTCCCTGCACTTGCATCTACATATTTCTTCATATTAAAATACAACTTGCTTAGTCTGTACAAGGTTACTTGTATTATGATTTTCAGGGGTGAGCATTTAACATTGTATAACCCATACCTATGTTTTTTACATGGGATGTCAATCCCTCTGGCTCTCCATGTCTTCATTGCCTGAACAACTTGCTGTTCACCATTTGGCAATGATATGCTGGCCTTATCCTCTGCAATGTTCTTCTTTTGAGAGTTATATATAAGAGTTACACTTACAGAAACCAATGGGCTTGCCATATTGCACACCACTCTGTGTAAATAAGGTGTTCTTTCACAGCAGATTCATCGTCTCTTACTCTCTAAGATATTGATCTTTACTAGTATAGAATCAATCTTTGATTTTTGTTATAATTGTTATTACACTATTAATGAACTTAATCTAATTCTGTCCCATATTTGTAAACCAAGCAAAATTGTATAAAAGGATTCTGAGTATAAATATTTTGTATTTACATATTTATTTTGTCCAAATGGAATAATAAATGGTTTCAGAAACCTCATGGACATTTGACGGACTTTTTATATAACTTGTACTAGTTAAAATGTGGGGAATGACCATGCTGACTTTATGTATATGTTTTTCCATTTAAGGTGATATATGTCATCAGAAATCCCAGAGATGTTCTTGTGTCTGGTTACTTTTTCTGGTGTAATACCAACCTTGTCAAGAATACAGACTCACTGACAACTTATTTTGAATGGTTCCTCAAAGGAAACGGTGAGTGTCATATTTAATATATGTGTTTGTGAAGGCTCAGTGATGTTTTTAAGACAAGGTGAGATATAGTTTAGGCTGGCCTTGAACACTCTATATAGTCAGGGATGACCTTGAAGTCTTTCTTATTCTGAATTTCTGTCTTGAGTTCTTAGACTACAATCACCTACTCACTTGTCCTGTTAACTGAATTTTGGGGCTCAAGCTCATGATATCAAGAAAGTTATCTAACTTTGCTAACATTCCTAGACTTAATGTATTCTGTGGACTTCACTTGGTTCTTTATTATCTTTCTACATTCAACCAGTGTGCAGCTCCAAGGCCCATCACCATTTTGAATGTAATATTGAGGTCTTCCCTTCCTCACATACCACAGCATATCAGGGTAGAGCCACTGCTTACTCCATGACACACCATCCTGGCAACAATAGGGTATCTGGTCTCCTCAGTAATCATTTGTGGGTGTTAAATTTCTCCAAATAGACACTAAAATATGAACACTTGTTTTCTACATGATGGGACTGTTTCAGAAAATTAATGAGACACAACCCTGTAGGAAGAAGTGTGTCACTGAGTGTAGGAAAAGAAAGGTTTTTAATTATTTTTAATTAAATCTATGCATTTATTTTATATCCTGACCACAGTTTTCCCTCCCTCCTGTCATCTCACTCCTTCATTCCACCTCCTTCTGCACCCCACTTAAAATTAATTAATCTGATTGTGTTCAGAAAGGGGATGGCCTTAGCAATGGTGTCAGCAAAGCATGGCATATCAAGTTCAGGTAAGACTACCCTTCTCCTCTTGTATTACGGCTGGGCAAGGCAACTAAAGCAATACAGTCAGGCCCTATTTCCACCACCAGGAGTCCCACCAGTATATAAAGATACACAACAGTCAGACATATGTAGAGACCCTAAGTCAGTTCTATACAGGCTCCTTGGCTGTCAGTCCAGAGGCTTTGAACTTGTACAAGCCCATGTAAGTTGCTTCTATGGTTTCTTGTGAGACGACCTTGATGCATGTGAATCATCTAATCTTTAATCCAGTCCTTTGAAACCTTTAATCACATCCAGTGACATTGTTAGTATTCAGGTATCTGTACTGTCCTGCTCTTGAGTTTCTGACAGGATCCCTCCTCAGCTTCAGCCTGTTACATCACCACCTGTACACATTCATTATGTTCCCCTTTAAAGGCACCCTACCCCCTTCTATCTTTCTCTCATTCTCTTTCCCTCTGTCTGTATGCTTCTCCCTCAATCTCCTCAGTCTTTCTCTGTGTCTCCCCCCTCTCTGCCTCTCATTTCTCTTCTGTTGCTCCTGTCCCAAAAGGCTGGTCCCCCCTCTACCCTCCTTGTTTTCCCATCATCTTTCCCCTAATTATATAAAATGTGCATCATGTGATCCGATGTATGGCATCGTTCTCTCCTGAGATGCATTTTAAATTCCAACAGATGTATTTTCTCCAATAAGTTCATATCTTCTAATCCTTGAAAAACATCAACCAATAGGAAACCAAGTACTGCAATGCCTGAAAATTATAGGTGACATCCCTTTATTGTTTTATATTTTTTATTTTATAAACCAATCCCAGTACCCCTCCCTACCCTCCTCCTTCTGCCTCCACCTTCCCCCTTTCAACCCCCAATCTGCTCCTCAGACATGGTGAGGGCTCCCACTGAAGTCTGTCCCCAAAGTACATTGAGACCTGACTCAGATCCTGCCACAACCCACCCTTTGTGTAGGCTGAGCATGGTATCTCTCCATAGGAAATGATCTTGAAAAGCCTTTTCATGCTCTAGGGATAGATCCTGGACCCCTGCCAGTAAGACCACAAAGTTCCCAAAGCTGGCCACTGTCACCTGCATTCAGGGGGACTGTTTTGGTCCTATGCAGATTCTCCAGCGGTCAGTCCAGGGTCACTGTGCTCCTACTTGTTTGGTTCAGCTGTTTGTGTTGGTTTCCCAATCAAGGTATTGATGTCTTTGGTCATATTATCACTCTTCCCTCTCTTTGGGTGTATACCAGGAGCTTGGTCTAGTAGTTAGCTGTGGATATCTGCATCTGATTTCATGAGTTATCAGACAAAGGTTATATGCTGAAAATTATAGTAGTCCTGTGTCAGTGATCTCTCACTAGCGTGGGTCAGCTGTTTCTGGGGGTTTCCCCTACCTGGGCTTGACTCCTTTGTTCATATTATCACTGGTCCTTCACTTTGATTGTATTCTAGGAGCTTGGCACAACGGTTAGTTGTGTATTTCTGCATCTGCTTTGATCTATTTCTGTAAAAGCGATCTAGCTTTTCTGGGATTGTGAATTGTAGGCTGGGTATCTTTAGGTTTGTGTCTGATTTCTACTTATGAGCGAGTACATACTATATTTGTCTTTCTGGTTTTGAGTTACCTCACACAGGATTTTTTTTCTTGTTATGTCCATATGCCTGCAAATTTTAAGTTGTCACTGTTGCTTACCACTGAGCAATACTCCAGTATTTAAATATACCACATTTTCCTTATCCATTCTTCAGTTGAGGGCATCTAGGTTGTTTCTAAGATCTGAATATTACAAATAATGATGCTATTAACATAGTTGAGCAATGTCCTTTGGTATGAATTGCCTTCTTTGGGTATATGTCCAACAGTGATATTGCTTTGTCTTGATGTAGGTTGATCCCTAATTTTTGGAGAAATCGCCATGCTGATTTCCAAAATGGCTGTACAAGTTTGCACTCCCACTAGCAATGGAGGAGAGTTTCACTTTCTCCACATCCTCTCCAGCATAAACTGTCACTAGTGTTTATGATCTTAGACATTATGATTGGTGTAAATGGAATCTCAGAGTGGTTTTGATTTACATTTCACTGATGACTAAGGATTAAGATGCTCTGTTGAGAATTCTCTGTTTAGAGCTGTATGCCATTTTTTAAATTGGACTGCTTGGTAGTTCAATTTCTAGTTTCTTGAATTATTTTTTATATTTTAGAGATCAGCCCTCAGTCAGGGATGGGGTTAGTGAAGGTGTTTTCCCATTCTGGAGGGAGCTGTATTGTCTTGTTGAATGTGTTCTTTGATTTTCTGAAGCTTCGTTGTTGCAGGAGGTCCCATTTCTTAATTGTTGCTCTCAGTGTCTATGCTACTAGTGTTCTATTTAGAAACTGGTCTCCTGTGCCTATGTGTTCAAGGGTTATTCCCACTTTCTCTTCTATGAAGTTCAGTGTGGATGGATATATATTAAGGTCTTTGACCCATTTGTACTTGAGTTCTGTACATGGCAATAGATACTGATCTATTTGCATTCTTCTATGTATTGACAGTCATTTATACCAGCAACATTTGTTGAATGTGTTTTCTTTTTTTCAGTTTCTATTTTTAGCTTCTTTGTCAAAAATTCAGTGTTTGTGAGTGTTTGTACTGATATCGGTGTCTTAGATTTGGTTACATTGGTCCACCTGTGTGATTTTATGACAATACCAAGCTGTTTTTATTACTATTGCTCTATAGAAGAGCTTGACGTCAGGGGTGGTGATGCCCCAAGATGATCCTTTAATTTACAGGATTGTTTTGGCTATCCTGTGTTTTTTGTTTTTCCATATGAAGTTGAGTGTTGTTCTTTCAAGGTCTCTGAAGAATTGTGCTGGAATTCTGATGGGGATTGCATTAAATTTGTAGATTTATTTTGGTATGAATGCCCTTTTACTATGTTGATCCCACCATATAAGAGCATGGGAGATCTTCCCATTTTCCGATATCTTCTAGAATTTCTATCTTTAAAGACTTGAAGTTCTTGTCATACAGGTCTTTCACATGTTTGGTTAGAGTTACCACAAGATATTTTATGCTCTTTGTGTCTATTGTGAAGTTATTGTTTCTATTATTTCTTCCTCAGCCTGTTTATCATCTGTATATAGGATGACTGGAGGTGTTTATCAGTTGTAGTAGTTCCCTCGTACATTTTTTTTGAGTGAATTCAAAATTTATTGACAGCAATACAAAACAAGCTATGACTGAAAGCTGCCATTTAACAGGAACAGATATTGGCGTAGTTTCCGTCCTGGAGAGGGTATGCACTTAAGTCATCACACCTAAGATAAAACAAACACTAGATTGTCAGCAACTAAACAAGGATTACACTTTACCTATTAATAGAAAAAAATGCTAAAGGCAAAATAAGACATTTACAAATATTTTTTGATGCTACTTTCACAGAAGTAAACAAAACAAGCTATAATTACAAAAACTTCAGACACAGGATATAGATGTAAGGTGACTATTAATCTTTTCCATCAGCCGTAATTTGTTCTATCCTGCACTCTACTTGTGCTATAATTACATGCTTGTTGCTTCTACACTACCAAGTCAATGGTTATCACCAACAATGCAAAATAGTTAGAGCCCAACAAGACTTAGTGTGCTTCTGCTCCATTCCAACTAAGACACTCCAAGCCAGGATTTAGAACACCTGTTGATTTTCGACCCTGCTCCTTTTTGGCTTGTCAAAGTTAAGTCCTTACTTGACATTTTTCACTTGCAATGCTCTTCCTACCTTCTTTTTCTGAGACATTAAAATTGTGAAAACTGCAAAAGACAATGAAATTGTTCTTCTGATTCTGAGCCTGCAATCTTATTCCTGCTTAGACACACTACACTCCTCTGCAGTGCACCCCACCAGCACAGCGACCCGTTTTCTTGTTCTCTGTTCCTTTGCCCTGAAGGCACTTCTGGATAGCATAATACGTGCTCTTTGGCTGCCTGGACAGTCAGGACACCTATGGCCATCGGGACTTCTCACTCCTCTCCTCCTTCTTTTCTATGGCTAATACCACTTTCCTGCTTTTTGTCCACTGGTGAATCTCCAGGCTTGTCATCAGGGGGACAGAGTTGACTTCGGCTTCGAGCTCCTGGTTGGTAAAGCTGCATTGCTGGACGATCCTTGTTCCTTATGCAGTCTCTCTTAATCACTTCATCTTTCTTTTCAATTTTGTCTGAGGCACATATTGATTCTGGATTCTCACTCTTCTTTCCTTTATCTCGAAATGCTTCTTTCTCTCTCCTCATTTCCTCTTCCTTTCGTTTGAAAGCCTTCTCTTTCTCATAGCGCTCCTTCTGCTGCTGCCTGCGGCATTCTTCTTCCTGCCGCTTCAGCAGCCTCTCGTTCTCGCATCATGCGCTCCTGATCTCTTTCATAATCCCGATCCCTGTCTCTGTAATCTCTGATACTCTCATCATCAAGCCTCTTTGGCTTTTCATCCTTCAGTTCAACATCAGAACGCCTGGGCAGAGTACAACTTTGCCCACTGGCTCTTTCTTCAGTCAGATTCTCTTTGTCTGGTCTCTTTGCTTTGTCTCTTTTATCAAGTTCTTTTTCATCTCCTTTTTCTGGTTTCTTGAGCAGCTTTTAAAGAGAAAATGTTTATTTTTTATTTTGGTGAAAGGGGCATTGCCTTCTGATTCTATCGAAAATCACACAGCATACTAAATACTTTAAATTTAGATTCCAGAAGGCCTCTTATCTTTGCCATTATTCTCAAACTTCCAGGCAAACAACTAATACACAATAGTGATTTACTAAAAGGTTGCTACTATTGTGAAAGTGTCATTCCTTCCACAGGCTTGTTCTTCAGGAAGCTCAAAAGTGGGGTTGTCCTTTTAGCTATTAATTCTCGATTTTTGGCTTCTATTTCTTCCAGCAGTGTCTCTGGAGTAGATGTCATTTTTTCATTATCTGTGGCATAAGTCTCCAAAAATTTTCTGTATTCTGGATC